CCCATTTTCTTTTTTTCATCAAATGAGTCATAACAACTAATCCTCTATTAAGCATTTACAAGTGATTATTAACCCTTTCTTTGCAAAATCACATTACCAATCTTATATGCTTTGCATTAATCATTTCATATGTAGTATGTATACCTATGAGAAGCTAGCTCACCAAGGCAACCAAATTATAGTTATAACTTGATACATACCTCACATAACAAAAAGTCCTCACAACACAATTATGAGATCTAAGGTGGATATTTCTAATGCCTTGAATATGTACCTTTTCCAAACCACAATATCACCATACTTTCCATTCTTTTTCAATTTCACAAAGTAACTTCTATTATTGCAAACATGGATAAAAGCAATTGAATCTAAAACTCAAAATTTATCACCCTACAAAGTTTGAGTCTTATCCACCTAAGTCTTTAAAAGGAGATTATAATTAAACAAAACAACAATAATGTCATTTTTTTTTTCATTCAACTTTTTCTTATAATTCGTTCATTTGAAAACATCTATATCCCTTATCAGTTTCTTGCAATGCACTTGATATGTTCTTTTTTACTATAATAATAACACTTTATATCATTGTAATATTTGCTTCTTGACTTAGATCTCCTTTTTAATTCATTAACCTTTTTTGGAGTCCCTTTTTTGACCCTCAATAGCTAGTGCACTTTTTCCAACCAAATGATGAGTTTTCTATTCCAATAAACCTCATTCTCATGCAATAAGACAGTTACATCATCCAACTTTTAAGTAGACCTACCTATCAACAAAGTCTAAACAAGAGGTCATAAGATTTAGGCATAGAAGAAAACAAAATTAAAACTTTCAATTCATATTTTAACTCATCAACATATATAGCTAGCAATTAAAAAACTAGCCCATTAAATTCATTTAGGTGATTATGAAGATTCATACTTTCTTTTATTTTCAGAGAATACGGATTCATTTTCAAACACAATAGCTAGTCAACAATTATGTTGCATAAATGCCTTTAAGTTTTTCCTACAAACCCATTGGAGTACTCTCAATCAACACAATATATTTTATCTTTAGGGCTAGGGACAATCTAATAATACTAACAGCTTTCTTTTGAATTTCATCCAATTACTATCAATCATTCCTACAAGCTTATTATTCTATAATGTATGATAGTCGTATAATTCTCTAATATATGATCTAACCCTCATTACATTAACAAATTTTGAATATTACTTTATCATAGTATAAAATTATTCTTTTCATAAAAAAAGGAATCTCAAATTTAGGTATATTAGACATAATTCCATACATTCACACTGTCTTTATGAAACAATAACTCTTTTATCAAATCATGCTCTTTTGGGTTTATCTTTTCTCACGTCTTAAATCTCGTTTTGATATTACTTGTTCAAAACAAACACACACAACACTCACACACATTAACAATAGAGCAAACTTAAAAATAAAATAAAAATACATAAATATACTTGGTTCGACCTAATTCAAAGTTACTTATTCTAAATTCAATCCATTAACAAAATAAATATTTACATCTATAAGACTTTTGAAATGAAAAAAATCACCAAAATTTCTTTAGTTAAAATTTAACATAAAGTTCAATTATGTTTTTTTAATAACCCATTCACTTAGTTATTTTTTTAACATCTATTTGAAGATATCTAACTAAAGCCTAAAAATGTTATTTATACATATAAAACTTTTTATAATTTTAGTAAACTTTTCACATAAATCCAGAATAAACTATCAATTTTTATAATTTTATTCAATTTTCTATGGGAATTTGGAGATTCAAGGCAAACATGATAGATGTAACAACAAATCTCAACAAAATTTGAATAATAGCACTACATATACTAATAAAAAAATTTTCAGTCAAAATATCATAGAAATAGCTATAAGAAAAGAGTTGAAAAACAAGAGTTGATGGGTAAGGCAGGGCTCACATTGGAAAGTAGTGAAGTAAAGGCTAAAAAGACAGAAGGGAGTGCTTGTGAGAATCCCACAGGCTGACAAGGACAGTTGTGGTTGTGGAATGTGGACCCTTTGATTCATGTTGTTAAACTAAAAAATGTGTGCCATTGCCAATCTGCCACGTTATTGACAATTGACAAACAATGGCACAAAATCAGAACAGTTCCAATCTTCCATTTATCTTACTCTGCTATTTCTCATCACAAAAATGATTTCAAAATCCTTTGGTTCCTAATGATTTTCTATTTCTGTTTTTTCCAAACTTGATTGCAAAAAGAAAAATGGTAAATTAACTTGCCCAAACACAGTTTGCATGTTCCTTTTATAGGATTTTTCTCAATACTGAACACTTTCATAACACCCTGCTTCTGGTCAAGGTATTAAAATGTTGTTAACAAGAACAAAAAAAAAAAAAAAAATTGGTTCTGTAAAATGAGAAAGAAAATATAGAAATCTTTCTTATCTTTTAATAAGGAAAGTTAAGACAGTAGTCTTTATAATAATAAGTTAATAACAGAGTTTCAAACATACGTACTATTAAGTGCCAGAGAAAAATATGCCTTATGGAGTGAAAAACGCAAATTATGGAAAGTCAAATTGTGAGTTATGATCTTAAAGTCTTTCAGAGGCTTTGCTATACGTTTTTTTGGTTGTAACCTGTAAGCCTGCAGTACTAGTTGAATCCTCACCGTCTGAAATCCGCTATATATAACTTCTGTTTGATTATTGAAATTCACATCTCAAATAAAATCCAGCCTTTATAACAAGGCCAGCATGAACTTCAGTTCGGGCTTTCTTCAACTATCCCTAGGCCTAACTCTTCTACTGGGCCTCCCTAAACTAAACCCTGACCCACTTCAAGATTACTGCTTTGCAGTCATAAAATCCCCTTTAATGCTCATTAGTGTACCCTGTCTCAGCCCAAGTTTAGCTCTTTCCTCTCATTTCACCACTTCACTTCTAGCCGAACCTGGTGACACCAAGGCTAATCAATTCGGCTTCAGTGTCACACTCACCACCCTTGCAAATTCGATAGGAATTAACATCATGCGGCCTACCGACATAACCTCTAACGGGCTTGTTCCACCCCACTGTTAGCATTTGTCTTTAGGGTGTTCTTCTTGTGGGCCTTGTGTATACCTCTGACCGCCTCTTTACTCAGCTGGCTCCTTCGTTTTCCCAAGAGGACTGAGGACTAATCAATTTTCTCCACAATATGGACTCAAGGAACCGCTGTACTGTATCTGGGCTCAGCAGCCCAAACCTAGGTGCAAATCCATCAATTCCTGACGTAATTTTGGAAAAAATGCATTTCAAATCAACAGCAAAGGATGTTACCAAGGTACGCAAGAACCTTGGCTCCTGATTTAATTGATTTTTTTTTTGAAATGGGATTATTATAGATTTTTATTTTTTATTATTTATTCTTCTCTTCGCAAATGGTGTGGGAAAAATGGTAGTTCAAGTCCTCTTTCACAAAAAATAGACCTATCAACGGTCATATAATTGTTTATTTAAATTATTAAAAAAAACAACAATCAAGCCGGTGTTATTATTTGTTTATTTGGGTTGCTTGCGAATGGAGTGAACTAGATATTTGAATTTAATTAAATAATTTAAAATACAAATTAATGATATGATATCAAAGTGATATTAGTTAAAATTTTAGTAAAAATTATATATAAATTTAATAAAAATAAAAATATTTTTAAATAAATTATTATACATAATTTTTTATGTAAAACATAATATAAATACGAATTATTAATATTTTATATAATATGAATATATAAATGATCAAATTTAAAGTAAATTAAAATTAAAAAAAAATTCAATAAAGCAACTTTTTATTGTTTATTATCAAGATCAAAATAAAGAGATTATAGGAATTTAGACATTTACCGGTTGCCATTTCTTATCGATGTATAAAATTTTCAAAAGAAGCAAGAGGAAAACTCAATCATCATCTACAGATCTAATTCCCTGGATTGTCTCAATTTTTAAATAGTTTATTTGATTACTTACCCACCCTTTTTGTCTTCCATGTGAAAATGAAGTGTGAACTGTGAACTGTGAAGCATGTGACAATATGGGAATTAACAATTGGAAAAATTAATGAACATAATCACAATTAGGCGTTGTTGGAAAATGTTATTGTCAACGCCGAAGGCCAAAAGCAGTTGTAAATTTCTCAGGAACTCCAATTTTTCACAGGTAAAATGCGTTGAGTGGAGGAACTCACTTGGGACTCTACGTATCGGCTTCTGTTTCTGTTTACCAAATTAGGGATTGTTAAAAGTAATACAAATCAGACTTGAACTAAATTATCCACGTGTAAATTTCTTGGAAGAAAGAAAGAAGCAGAAAGAAATAGGCTGAGTGGGTCACGGAGTGGTAGAAATTTCTTACAAAAGAGTGCGTGCTTGAGGCCTTTTGGACCCCAACAAGGTCCCGTGAACAGCTATATAGAGACATTTCACAAAAGCACAAACAAAATTGCATTGTTTCTGGTATCTTCTTAGCTTTGCATATTCTTTGGTTGAACTTTGAAAATTATCTTGGCTTAGAATCGTTGTTAAAATACATAAAATGATGAAATGAAACCAATCATAATTTTATAACTGGCAACCAATTCAATTGTTTTTCAAGGTTGGAAAAAGAAAAAGAAAACACCAAACATCAATCCAGAAACATTATACAAGAAAAAAGTGAAGTATAAAAATGTTTTTGAATTAAAATTAAATAATCATTAAAACTTTTATTATTTATTATAATCAGTTAAATTCTAAAATATTTGTTTTTAATAATTAAAATTTTATTGGACAAAAATTGATTTATCACCAACATTTATTTTTGTTCAATTTAAAATTCAATTAAGTAACAATAGATTTTTAAATATTCAATTGAGTTAAAATAGATGTTTAAAGACTCAATTGGATGAAAATAAATAGGAGAAAATTAATTGATTATAACAAAATGATAAAGGCTTAAATATTTATTTAATTTTTTGTTAAACAATTTTTTTTATATTTAATAAAAAAATGAAAGAAGAAAAAAAAAAAAGGACTGCAGCAAAGGTAGAGGAGAAAATGGGAAATAAAAAATGAAAGAAGCAATGAACGACCGAATGTTATTCCGCCTCTCTCAATAATGTTTTTCAATTACATACAAAGAAATCAACCCGACCAAATTGTTCCAAATTATTGGAACCCCCTCTTTTGAAAGGAATTGATACCCTCAAACGTAAATCACAAAAATTAAATCCCATTTGTAAACAGCTGAGCTCTCTATCAAATAAAAAATCATTTCTGTAACAATGTAAAAACAAATAAAGAAGGAAAAAACAAAAAAGAATCAAAATAACTGGAATATCCCAACAACATTGAAGCAGTAGTAGAAGACTCGGTTTTGACTAAACTGCCCTTGTAAAGATCATACGGTTCCCAAAGATGATCAAGCGGACAAGGCTTTCTGGCGTCGAGTCGAACCCAGGGCTTACCTTTCCCACTCCAATGCAACAAACTAACCGGACCAGGATGCAACGGCCGACAAGAACCTCTTACATTGTCCCCTCCAAGCCCATGTTGATTCCATCTATGATCAATCGGTTCCACATTCCCAGCAAATACAAGCAAAAACGGTGGCAACGAACCCAACTCATAAATCCTTCGTTTCCTCTGTATTTCCATCCAATTCTCAATCCTTTTCCTAAAATTCCCTTCTCTCCAACGAACCAAATCCATTACCATAACTCCCGTGTTGAAATAACACGGCTTTCTCGACTGGAAGACCCGGGAAATAACCGGGTCAGACCAAAACCCGTCCGTGAAATACTTGCTGAAGTTGGCATGGCAATATTCGGGTGCGCCAATGACACGTGAGTTTGTCAGGGTTGTGTACCAGAGTTTAAGAATGTCGTCGACGACGATCAGGTCTGAGTCGAGATAAACGACTCGGTCGACGCAGAGACCTAGGATGTCTCCGAGGTAGTTTCGAGCGTAGTTGAGTGGGTTCTCGAGGGCTTGCCGGGTTGAAGAAGAGATTAAGTTGATAACTGTATCTTCCCGGAAAATGTAGATTTTGAATTTCAGTGAAGGGAACGTGGATCGGACGAGTTTGCTCAAGACTCTGGGACTGGCCTGGTCAAACTCGGCGGCTATGAAGTGAAAGAAGATGTTTTCTGGACATGACGCATGGCGGAGTACGGAGTGGACGGCGGCGATCGAGCCACGCAAGTATTCGGAGTCTAAAGTCATTGCCACGTGGACTAAAGACGGGTCGCAAGAGGAAACGAGTTCTTTATTGATAGAAACCGGACATTCAACTCCGTTACGGTAATCCGGTGCCTCCGAAAACCCGAAACCCGACCCATCTCGCACGCCGACGGTCCTGATTGCAACACAAAACGTCGCCGTTAACAAGAAATGAAGAAGCAAAACGGCGGCGGCGTTTAAAATGGGACGCATTGTTGTGGGGAAAAAAAAGAAACAGAATTTTTTTATAATTTTCGGTTGGTTCTTTGACAAAGGAATTTAGATGATTGGCATTGTGGTGAAAGGAAACAGAAGTAGAAGAGAAAAGAAAGGGCTGGTTGTAAAGATAAAGGAGAGAGCTTTGAATGTTTTGTTGAAAAAATTCAACACGGTTTTGGTAAGCTTTTGAGCTTCATTCAAAGCGGAACGCGGCCTTGAGAGGAAATGAGGGTTATTATTGCCCAAAATGAGTACTCGGGAGGGGAATTTTTGCTGTCTCTTCTCTGGCTTTTTCTTCTTTTCTTTTCTATTTCCAAATTTTCTTCTCTCTTCCCTTCTGTAATTAGGAAATAACAGAGAAATAATAGAGGGAGGAGAGTTTGGACTTTGGACAGCCTTTTAAACGACATAAGAGAAACTGCTGTGCAGACCAAAGGAAGGAATGAGATTGAGAACGAGAATGCGAAAGGATGAGAGATTTGTTTTTACTTTTTCAAATATTTGTATGCGTAGGTTGGAAAACAGGAGGATTTTGGCAAAATCAAATATATAGATTTAGATTTTAAACAAAATTTGTTGGTTGGACTTGGCCTTTAAAATATAACTAAATAAATTTTAATCAAATCCACAAATTTTAAAAAGTAGTACAAAAATTAAGATTTTTAAATATCTTCTTGCATTATGATTTTAACAAATTTACCTATAGAAGTTTAATAAAAATTAAAAACATTTTAATTTTATTTGGTAGAAAATGCACTTACTCTCTTTTACAATTTGAAAAGCATCCTCTTACAGTTTTACAATGATATTAATTACTCAGTTAATTTATAAAAATATTTGGTAAAGAAAAGTTTTTAACAAGAAAAAATTGTATCATAAAAATGTACTAAATCCAAATTATTAGTAATGTTATTAATAAAGAAGTAACAAAGGAACAAGATTGAATAAAGAAATAACATCAGAGTAATAATATTTTCTTTTGTAAAAATAGAATAACAGTTCCATACCTTTTATAAACAACTAAAAGCTTGATATTAGGTATCACATATAAGATGAGAAGGAAAAAAAAAAGTTACATGTACAATTAATTTTGTATGCCAAATATAACACTTATTTTTTAATTAATTTAGTTTCTTTTATAAGTTTTCATGTAATAATTAGTGTCAACGTATATTTAATTGATTGCAAAGGTAAATTTAAAATTTGAGGATTTAAACAAAAGGCAATATTCTTTCATTTTAACCCCCGAACCTTTCTAAAAATCAAAACTTTTTTAATTAATTAATCGACTCAAAAACAAAAAAATATTTACATAGATAAAAAATAATCCAAGATTTTTCTTTTTCTTTTTAAACTTTCAATAAGCAATGAGAATCATAATAACAGAAACTACATAACTCAAAATAATTTTCACAATATTTGATAGTAGTGGTTGGTTCAATCGATTAAAGTTTATTTTTTTTATAAAAAAATTTTAAATTCAAGTTTTATTGATAATCACTTGTTATAATTATTTCGAATGTATGATTTACAGTCATTTATCTTAAGCTATTAGATACGACATATTTTACTTTAATTTTAAGAGATTGAATAACTTATTTATTTTAATTTATTTTATAAAAAAAAAAAGATAGCAGTGAGAATTGTAAAAAAAATTGAAAAACGAAAAGCATTTGATGAGAGAAAGGAAGGCATAGCCACAAAGGTAGGCTACAGACTCGGGAAAGCACCAAAATCTGTTGCTCTTTATTTTTTTTAATAATTAAAACGACGGATTTAAATTCTAATTAAAATTAAAGTTTAAATATTCTATCCACAATCAAGAGATTACCGACTACTATTACTTTTTAGCAAGTGTTTTATGAAAGATAAAATAATAATTCTGGTTTTCTCTCTATAAATTTTACAATTTATTTTTTTTTAAATAATAGAATTTTCTCATAATAGTATAAAAATTTGTAATAGACCCCAATTTGTAATTCCTTCTAGAAATTATGGCCTTGACCGCTTCTTCATTTTCCCAAGTAATAAGATAAAATAGATATTCTTTGTTTGGGTGCCCAGCCCACTGCAAAATACCTGTGCTACAAAAGTTTATTTAAATAGGAGTAATTATTTAAGCAGTAATTCAAAACACTCGGCAGCATTTGGTTTTATCTGGTGGGAAAGAAGATTCGGATGCCTTGGCAACGTTGGAAGATAGTGTTAAGAAGCTTAAGGGTCCTAAAGCAGACTTCTCCAGCTCAGCTTTCGGCAAGGGCCAGATGATTGCGGCATTTGATTTGTTAGTTGATTGGTTCTCTTTGTCTCGCGGGTTTAGGGTTAAAAGGTTTTGAGATTTGACATCTTTTGATCTGGAAAGGAACTGATTGGTACGGATTTGGGATTTTGCCATTTGGGTGTTTGCTTTTTTTTTTTTTTTTAATTGTTTTCTTTCAGTTTTAAAGTTATGAAAAATTTTTAATTAATGATATTTAAAGAAAACAGTAAAATTATTAGAGCTGACATAATAATAATAATCAATTAATAATTAACACATGAACAAATTAATAGTCATGTCGTAATTTACAGTTCTAAAATATTCAATCGCTTAGATAAAATTTTAAAAATTAAAATAAAAAGTTATCAATATTTTTTAGTATAAATGATTGGTCTATTAAAAAATTTATTTTTTAATAAAATCTTTAAATTAGTTAAGATTTATAAAAAAAATATTTAATCTTTGAAAACATAATTAGATAAAGAAATACAATTATATGTGAAAAAAATTAACACCTTTACAATGTCCGTTTTAAAACTAATCACACATTATCTTTAAGTTTTAAAAATAGTTTTAAATTTAATATTTAAAAATAATTCATTAAAATTTATTTATTTTCACAAAATCTCAATTTTTTTATTCCTTAAAAATACAAATATTTTATTTTGAATTAAAATAAAAACTTTTGGTATTTGAACATTTTCTAAACTCTCCAATATTTATGTCAAACTTCAAAAGTATTTCTCCACTTTAAGATTTTCACGATAATTCTTTAAACCAAAGATACTATTCTTTTATAAAATATAATTATTAAGAATCCTTCTAATATCTATGTAAGTTCTTAATAAATATTTTTATTTAGAATATTATCTTATTTTATTTTTAAAAAACTTTTTTCGTTTGAAACCATTAATTGCTATAAAATAATAAAATGCACATTAATGCAGTAAATTAAATAATGTAAATTCTAATTAAAAAATACACATGAATGTAACAAATTAAGTAATATAAATGCCAATTAAAATGCATATGAATGCAATATGGATTAAGATTTAGGGTTTGGATTAAAGGTTTAGGGTTTAATTTAAGGTTTAAGGTTAACTTTAGGATTATGATTTAAGGTTAAGGTTTTAAGGTTTTGGTTTAAGAGTTAAGCCTAAGGGTTTTGTATAAAGGGGTAAGTTCTAGGTGGTTTTGTTTAGGGTTTAGGGGATAAAAATGAGTATCAATGGTAATTTATATCTCTTCACAAATTACCAATATCTAGATGGACTTTTGAAACAAGTATAATTATCATAATCCTTTTTTTTTTTTCTCACATTTTATACATATTAGTTTTTGGCACGTGCATGACACACGTGTAATTTTTAACTTTAAATTTAATTCAATAAATTTTTTTTGATACTATAATAATAATGATAAGTGTTAAAAATATAATTTTTATTTTTTTATAATATAAGTAAAATTTGATAACTTTTGACATAATTTCAATTCTGATAACCTTTGATGTGTGTTGGTAACTTTTGTTAGAAATTTGATAGGTTTTGATAAAATTTTAGTAACCTTCGATATAATTTTGATAACCTTTGATATTAGCTTAATAACTTATGATATAATTTGGTAACCATTTATTCAAATGTGGTAATCTTTGATAAAACCATTTATACAGTTTAGGTAATCTTTGATAAAATTTAAGTAACCTTTTGATGTAATTTTGGTAACATTTCATATAATTTTGATAACTTATGATATACTTTTGATAATAGTTAATAAAATTTATATAATCATATATTTAATAATGGATTCCTGTAATAAAACATGGGTTTCATTTTAGTATAAGATAATTTTTTTATATAATAACATTAATATTTTATTCAAATTTAAAATTTTTTACTAAATATTTTTATAGAATAGGTTTGTGGAAGGTTTATCTTAGCCTTTAAAAATAAAAATTCAAACTTCATTTCTACTAGTAATGAAGATTTAATCTCTAACAATTTTAAGTATAAAAAAAGTTATCAAGAATTGACAATTAAATTATTATTGATTTACTATTATGTTATCAGTGATTTATTATTAAACTACAAATGACTTACTATTAAATTATCATTTATTTACTTCTAATTTATGAATGATTTGCTTTTAAGTTAGGAATAGTTTTCTACTAAATTATTGATGATTTACTATTAAGTTATTGATGATTTATTATAAAGTCATAATTGATTTATTATTAATTTATCAATAATTTACTATAAAATTATTAATGATTAACTAATTTATTACTAAATCATTGCTGATTACAATTAAATTATTATTAATTTGCTACTATGTTATTAGTGATTTACTACTGTAGACACCCCAATCTGTTTGGGGGTTTACTAGATTTGGATTGTGTTAATTAAAAATAAAAAATAATAAAAATGAAAAGGCTAGAAAAAATGAAAAAAATAGGAAAACTTTAAGTGGAATTGAAACTAGGAGTTTAGGCGAGATTAAAAGTTGGAATTAAACTTAGAAAGGACTAAAAATCCTTTTTAGTTTAGGCTCTTGGATTACACTCTATAAATGCACAGATAGATTGAACAGAAGAGAACACACAAATAGAAAACAGAAACACAGCAAATAGAGAGAAAAAAATTTTGGAGTTTTTTTTTTATTAAAATTTTTCTAAAACGTTTTTGAAAAATTTTCAGATTTCAATGAAATTTTTCGACTTTGGTTGAATTTTTTGATGAATTTTTTGGCGTCGGTTAAACTTTTTGGCAGGTTTCCCAGAATTCGACACAGATTCTAGCATCGGTTGAATTTTTCAACGAACTTTCGATGAACCAACCCAGATTCTGACGATATTTTCCAGAATCCACTGGAGTTCATTTGATTTAGAGAGAGGGAGAAAAGAAAGGGGAAGAGAGTGAGGGGGAAGG